AATAATAAGCAAAATAAAGTTGCAACGTAGATTATGATGTATGGGTAGAATTTGGTTCAAAGACTGAAAATATTCTGAGCCTAATCCTACTCCAAGTAAATGGCAAAGGTCCTACTGACTTCTCTGGTATAGGATCAAGCACTTGTTGTACTCAAAGCTTTACCTTATGTTTTTGTGATTGCTGCATCAAAGCTTCTTCTACTTTTTGTGCAAAAACTTCCTTCTCTGTATCCAGCATGTCAAGAAGTCTCTGATGCTATAAAAGAAGATGATAATATTATTAAATTCTAGCCTCACTGCAACACAAGGAAAAGAGTTGGTGAAACACTGTTAACTAAATACGTATTTTCCTTACATGATGACTGGAAAAACTACCGGTTGAACTTCTAAAATCCATGACTTTCTGGTCTCACAACATCCATGGTGCCCCCAGACCATGGATACTGCTAGACCAGACAGCACCAGTGGGCCCAGTTCAGGAGCATAGGGTAGGCCGGGCTAGCAGTGGGGAGCACAGCTTCAACAGGGTGGATGGCAGCAGCTCCAATGTAGTGGGGAACACAGCCCCTGCTGGGGCAGGCACAGCAGGGAGGCAGAAGGACTGGTGAGTGCAGCCCTGGCCCCAGGCAAAAGCACAACCCCAACAGGGCTGAAAGGAGTGGGGCTGGTGGCGTGGAGCACAACTAGGGCTGGCCCCCAGGAACAGGAACAGCAGCCAGCAGGAAGCCTTGACATCCCCTGCTCTGGCAAACTCCATGGTTTGGGACTGTTCAGATCCCAAGGATACCAGACCAGGGAGGTCCCACCTGTAGAACTGGTTACATTACATACAGATTAGTCCCATAATATCAACAACAATGAAGAGCACTGTAAAATGAGACATATCTAGAAATTAATTATTTTCTATTATTTTTCCTCAATGTTATGTACACAAAATAAAATAAAATGTATATTCATTAGCTGGGCTATGCCACCCAAATAATAATTATTCTTACAAAATCATGGTACAATAAATAGCATTCATTTAAATACAACTGTGGATTTTAACATAAGGTGTGCTTCTAATAACTATAATTTGAATATAAATCTATATGAAAGAGAGCAACTCTAAATATTTGTATCTATACAAACCATTTGGACACTAACGTTTTAAGGTTAGAAGATGAGAACAAAAGTTGCTGCTTTCTTTCAATTTTCTTGTAATTTAAAACATTTTTAGGGAGACAGCAAATGCTGACAGTAAGTGACCAAGTAGTCTATGTCTGCTTATATAATCTATCATCGCTGTTTCTAATTAAAATCCTTTTATCTATGTTTTTCAAGAAATCAAGAAAAGCACGCGAAAGATGTGATTTGTCTTTAAAAAAAATCTGAGCTTGATGGAAACCTAAGTTATTAATGGAAAGTATTGATGCCATGTGTTTATGTCAAGACAATTGGACAGCAAATCAGGGAACATGCTGTTTAACTGAAGATTATAGTAACCTGAAATCATATGTATAGTACCAGTAAAAATAATAATTCATAAGATCAAAAACCAATACATGAAAATAAATGTATAATCTTATATTATTAAAATACATACATACATACTGTGGCAAGTTGGGGCTAAGTCCCCTGTGTTCTGCTCTTTTTGGCAGGGTCTTTGTATGAGCCTCAGAGGCTCACAGTGTCCCTACTACTGCCAAGTAGGCAAGGGTACCCTGCTCCGAGAGTTCTTTTCATCATTGGTTAGTCCAGGATTTGAGGGCCAGTGGTTCTGCTTGCCAATACCCGACCAGCCAAGAGAAAAGTTGGGGGGAACCCAGTCTCACCCACTTGCTCCGGGTTCCAGACCAGGGCCCCATGGGGCAGCCCTGAGTAAGCTTATGAGGCTAGACTCCTGCCCCACTGGAATGCAGGCCCCTCCTTGGGCCACTTCCCCAACCACTCCCAGGTACCTCCTCCCTGGTGTCCAGGAACACCCCTAGTTAACTGGCTGTCCTCCTGAGTTCATCTCCTTCCTTCTCTCTAGCTTACCTGAGGGAGAGGCTTTTTATAGTGTACCCATCAGCCTTAACTGGCAACAGGTGTCCTAACTAGCTTTCTTCTCAGGCTAATGCCAGATGGGCTTCAGGTGTGGTATTTGCTATACCTCAGTCTCTGGCAGCCTATTCAGGGAACATAAAACCACATATCCAGCTCCCCGTATATCTGCCTTCCACAAGGCTTTTGAAGCCTCTTGCTCTCAGGCTACCATAATACATACCCTATAAAGTCCTTAACTTGCAAACACATAAGCACATTTAACTTTCAG